TTCCAGGACAGGGAAACACGAGAGATACGAGAGAGAGACTGTTTCAAGGTTTTTGTGAGTGAAAAGATGAGTGAAAGCAGCTTTGCACAGGTCTGTCTTCCAAAATTCGATGGAGATTATGACCATTGGAGTCTGCTAATGGAAAACCTGTTGAGGTCCAAGGAATACTGGTCTGTTGTAAGTGATGGTTTCAAGGAACCAACTGCAGGAGAAGAGTTGTCAGCAGTACAAAAGAAGGATTTGGATGATAATCGTTTGAGGGATCTCAAAGCAAAAAATTATCTGTTCGATTCTATTGACAAATCAATCCTGAAGCAAATCACTCAAAAGGCCACAGCTAAGCAGCTTTGGGACTCTATGAAAGTCAGGTATCAAGGGAGTGAGAGGGTGCAGAAAGCACAACTTCCATCTTTGAGAAGAAACTTTGAGATTCTGGCCATGAAAGAAGGTGAGACTGTATCTGCTTACTTTGGAAGGGTTATGGTTGTTGCCAATGACATGAGAAACTGTGGGGAAGCAATGCCAGATGTCAAAATTGTTGAGAAAATTTTGAGAACCTTGACTGAAAGATTCAACTACATAGTTTGTGCAATTGAAGAGTCCAAGGACATAGATACTCTTTCTATTGAAGCTTTGCAAAGCTCTTTGCTTGTGCATGAGCAAAAGTTCCCAAGGCAGACTGCAGAAGAGGATCAAGCCCTCAAAGCTACACATGTTTTTGGAGGAAGGGGAGGCACTAGAGGTGGTGGTCGATTTTTTTGGTCAAGGAAGAGGAAGAGGAAGGGCTCGAGGTTGGAACCGAGATGTTGTGCAGTGTTTTCACTGTCATAAGCTGGGCCATTTCAGGAATGAGTGTCCTGATTGGTTCGGTCAGCAAGCTAATTATTCCAGTTTTGACTCATCCAACAAATCACAAGATGATGTGAGAGATGATCTCCTGCTAATGGCTCAAATTGAAGAAGGAGAGAATGCTAGTTTGATGGCTTTCCTGGAAACTCAGAAATTTGAGAAGAATCCAAGCTGGTGGTTTCTTGACTCAGGCTGTAGCAAACATATGAGTGGGGAACGACAGTGGTTTATTGCTATAGATGCTGGTTTTGAGTGCCATGTGAAGTTAGGTAATGGTCATAAGTGATGTGTTTATGTGCCTTATCCTTCAGACCAACTTGCTAAGTATTGGTCAATTATAGGAAAAAGGTTTGGAGTTTCTGATCAAGAAAGATGTCTGCAAAATATTTCATGAAGTAAAAGGTTTTCTGATGCAGACAAGCATGAAATCCAACTGGATGTTTGTGCTAAGTGAAGAACAGGGAAATAGAACACAGGCTGAAGAGATAATGTGCTTACAAACATCTTTGCAACTTTGGCATAGAAGGTATGGTCACTTGAATCAGAGAAGCCTGCTGGAACTTCAAAGCAAGAGTCTGGTTCAAGGCATCCCTCAGTTGCATGGAGATCTGGGAGTCTGTGAAATCTGTCAAATTGGCAAACACCATAGACGCAGCTTTTCAAAGAAGAGCAGCTAGAGAGCAAATCAGAAGCTTCAACTCATTCATGCTGACTTATGTGGACCTATCACTCCTGAGTCCAATGGAGGAAAAATTTATGTCCTTACCATCACTGATGATTTCAGCAGAAAACTATGGGTTTATTTTCTGTCTGCTAAGTCTGAAACACTAGAAGCATTTAAGAAATACAAAGCCATGGTAGAGAATGAAACAGGCAGCACCATCAAATGTTTGAGAATAGATCGAGAGGGAGAATTCTTATTACAAGAGTTCAAAAATGTGTGTGATGAAGCTGGCATAAGGAGGCAGCTTACAGCTGCCCTTACTGCCCAACAAAATGGGGTTGCAGAAAGAAAACACATAACTATAATGAATATGGTTTGATGCTCCCTAGCTTATACAAAAGTTGCTGCTGAGTTTTGGCCTGAAGCAGTGGCCTGGACCACCTATGTGTTGAAAAGGAGTCCAACAGCAGCCAATGAGGAAAAGACTCCACATGAAGTCTAGTCTGGTAAGTCTCCTTCAGTTGAGCATCTTAGGATCTTTGGTTGTGTAGCCTATGCTCACATACATGGTAAGAACAGAAAGAAACTGGATGCAAAAAGCTTAAAATGCAACTTTTTGGGGTTGTCTTATGAATCTAAGGCCTACAAGCTCTATAATCCTACTATAAAGAAGGTAGTGATTAGTCGAGATGTAATCTTTGATGAAGACAAGGTTTGGATCTGGGAGACTGAGCCTCAGAAAGATGTGACAAAACTGGTTCTAGAAGGAGAGGATGGGAACTGTTTAGATTCTGATACTGAAGAAGAAGTTCAGCTACCTAATGATGAGTCAACTAGTCAAGCTACTCCTGTGATCACTCCTTCAAGTAATCAGGAAGAAGAGGAGGAAGAAGAAGATAATGATCTGTCTACTAATAGCCTTGGTTTGCCATCACCAGGGAACTTGGGGCTTGGACATCGAATAAGAAAGCCACCAGGATACCTGAATATCTATGATTGCAACTGGGCTAACACAGACTGGTGGGCTATGATTGCTCTTTCTGATGATCCTCTGACTTTTGAAAAAGTTGCAGTTGATGAGAAGTGGAATGAGGCTATGAGGCAAGAGATGATGTCTATTAGAGATTATGACACATGGATACTTACTGACTGCCCACCAGATGTTATTTCACTTGGACTGAAGTGGGTTTACAGGACAAAGTTACAAGAGGATGGAAAGATTGACAAGCATAAGGGCAGACTGGTAGTCAAGGGTTATGCTCAGCAACACGGCATTGACTACACAGAAGTCTTTGCCCCTGTGGCAAGGTGGGATACAATTAGAATAATTCTGGTCTTAGCTGCTCACCATGGGTTTCTAGTTTTCCAGCTTGATGTAAAGAGTGCTTTCCTCTATGGTGAGCTTTCAGAGGATGTCTATGTTGAGCAACCACAAGGATTTGTGGTTGCTGGGGGAGGAAAATGAGGTTTATAAACTGAAGAAGGCTCTCTATGGGTTGAAGCAGGCTCCACGAGCATGGTATATCATAATTGAAGCATATTTCTTGAAGGCTGGGTTTGAGAGAAGTACACATGAGCATGCCTTGTTTGTTAAAAGGTCTGGATTTGATTTCTTGGTGGTAAGTGTGTATGTAGATGACTTAATGTTTACTGGCAGCAGTGCTGTGATGATTGAGGAATTCAAGCAATCAATGAAGGAGGAGTTTGCTATGACAGATTGACACGCCAAAACACACATACTATGAAGGAGGAGTCACAACCTCTCCAGTGACTTCATCCCAGTTTAGAAACCCTGTGCAGAAAGGCCGAACATCACATACTATTGCCTGAATCAGAACTCAAAAGATCTCACTACCAAAAGAAATGTTGTGGAAAGTGTTCAATGTGAATCGTATATCACGTCAACAGAACTTGTAGGTCTCGTAGCGAAGACAGCAGTCCGCCGACAAGGCCTGAGCTCCAACACCGTCAGGGGCAGTTGGCACGAAGGGTAAGGGTGGCGTTCCCCACGCAGTTCTCGCACGCTTCGTCTCCAAGGCCGCCCTTGCAACGCGCGAAGACGAAGACCTCCGTTCCCTTATAGTCGTTACTCCCGCCGTTACCGCTGCTAAAGGTCCCGTTTTTGCAAACATCCACTGTTAGAGTAGTCAAAGAGTAAAGGAAATACCACATTGGTGGGAGAAAGAAAGTGCAAGTTGTTTTTAAGTTTGCTTTCCACTTTAGTTATTGGATAAAGTGGTTAGTGGGCTTTTGGAAAAAGTGTGGGCTATTTAATTACCGGAATTATTTTAATTAATTAATCCGGATAATTATTTGATTTTGAGTTTTGTGAAACGACGCAACCATTCGGAAGGGAACTGTCGTTTTCACTATAAAAGTCTTCTGCAGCCAAATTTCTGTTCCAACGTTCGTCTTCTTCTCTTCGTTTTCCTTCTCCAAAAACACAAACACAGAAGTCAGAAAGGTTGCTGCTTTCAGACTTTGGTTGAAGGGACTCCTGGGGGTGGTTTGCCTAATTCCTACCAGCAACAAAGTAGTGGGGGCAAATAACACTCTAAGGAGAGTGATTAATCACGCCTTCAATCTGGTTTTCTCCATACGGTTTCCCTGACATCCACATAATTAGTACCCTCTCTGAATCTGATCTTCCACTGCAACTCGGACTGGACGAAGAGCAGCACTCCGACCTGCACGTTCGATTTCGGGAACCTCGTTCCGTTCCATTCGTAGTTCAGATTGCCCGGTGGCCCGCTAGGAATGCACACTTCGTCATCTTCAGCGTGGCTTGCAAGAAACGCAGTGGCGAAGAAGAGGAGGATGGTGATGGTTGTTATTATCGAGAGAAAGGCTATTGCTGCCATTTTTTTATACCTCTTCTTTTGGTATGGATATTAGTTACGTTGGCGAATGTATATATAGATTAGAGAGCCCGGTTGGTTAATTGTGGCATCAATGGTGGCGCTAGGCGTCGAGAAGGGTGGGACGGAGATGTGGAGGGAAAGCCTAGGGTTTGGTGTTGTACGTGAACAATTATTAGTGGTGAGACTTACGTAAATGGTTCTTCTTTCCACTTTTGTTGTGCACCAAGTGATGTGTTACTTAAAGTTGTATCTTTCCTGTACAACTCATACTATTATACCTCCATCCTCTGTATTTTTGCAGTAATCTTTTCAAAGAGCGAGGCCTACATGCTTTAACAGAAAGCATATGCCTGGAATTAAAGGAAGACCCATATATCTTTTTGGAAATTGTCATACTTTGCAGCCATTCTATTGGAAAATTACCACAAAACAATTCACGCTTAACTGCATTTGAGACAAGACCAGACAACACTTCATGCCATATGATCTTCTCTCTTTCATTTGATCTCCAATCCATCAAATTTTTTAAAAGAGCACAATGATAGTTTTGGATTTTTTTCCAAAACAGACCACCTGCAGCTGCTACGTACACAGAATGTAGCTAGGCTCAAAAACATACCCTCAAATCAAAGCTCGCAAAACTTGTACGTCTCGTACCGAACACAACATTTCGGGGCGGCGGCCTGAGCCCCGACCCCATCGGGGCACTTGTCACGTATGACGGCGGTCGCCTTCCCCACGCAATCCTGGCACTCGCCGGACGGGATACCAGCCGTGCAACCCACAAAGAGGTTGTCATTGCCGTCGAAATTCTTCACGGTGCACAAATCCACGAAGCCATGGGGCACATGGTTCAGCCTATCCTTCATGTCAGCCAGCACTTGGTCCTGCACGTTCCTACCAGAAGCCAATCTCGTCTCGTTCCAAGCGTAGTTGACAAGGCGGCCGTCTGGTCCAGCTGGAATGCACACTATATATTTTTTATAAAATGGATAGCTTACAGCAAACCCAGTTGCAAAGAAGATGGTCGAAATCGTAATCATCACCAGAAGTCGCACCATTTCTTCTTCTTCTTCTTCTTCTTCTTCTTCTTCTTCTTCTAAGTAAGACTTACGTAACTTGTTCTTCTTTCACCTGTTGTTTTGTTAGTGTTGTCTAGATCGTCCACGTTAAACCGAGTTTATTCGTTTTTAGATAGGCTGTAGCCATTTCATATTAGTGGTAATCGTGAGTATTTGATCCTCTTAAGCTAAACCAATGAGGAAATATTTTTGTATTGCGTTGTGCTTTTTCCCGATCCCTTGTGGATCTTTCGTTCTAAGCCTCTTTCGAGATGGTTTCTGCCCTCTCCCTCTCGGAGGGAGATTGTAAGAGGGTGGGTTCTGATTCCAAAGAAAATGGTTAATTCAGATACAATAGTTAATTGATAACAGATATAATTTGAAAGAGAACGATTAACTCAATCATGAATTATTGTTTGGTGTAAGATTCATTATCAAACTTTTCTCAATAACTTGAGTTATTGATACTAACGGTTGTTGACAAAGAACCATTAGAAAGAGAACGACTAACTAAATAATTAATAATTGTTTGGTACATAAAATAATATTCTTGCTAGTTTTGACTACAACCTATTTTAATTCACTAAAATTTACAATATAATATTATATCATGAATTATTAGCAAAGTTAAGAAAAACTATTTTATCATCTGTTTTTAAGCAAAATTAACAAAAACTAGCATGGCCCAAGCCAGCTGGCCGGAAGAAGGTGAGGTATGAAATTTGATAATATAATTAGGTGTATAGTTTATTGTTGTATAGTTTTTTTTGATACACGTGATAAAAAATAGTTAATTTTAGTAGGAAAGATACATGAATGATGCAACGAATAAAAAATCAGCCTTATGAACCAAAATCAAGTACTTGTTACCTTGTGAAACAATATTGTTTCTGGTAATATGATGAGGTGGAGTAAGTTTTATAGAAACCGAATTCCAGAAAATGGAATAAAAAATCGCCTATCCTGCCGGTTTTCGGGAAATGAGCATCTCACAATCGTTGCTAGCTTTGACTAGGCCCGTTGGCCGATTAATTTGCTTTATAAACCTTTCATCTTGTTGTCATTGTTCTTTCTGGTTTTTGCCAAGTCATGATAAAATCTAAAGAAATCAAGAATGAACAACACGATTTGGGATAGGAACCGTCGTTCCTGTATCCATAGAAAATGGTGGTAAACACGAACTCATCTGCCAAACTGGTTTGGATTGAGATTTTTATAGGGTATCGGGGAACCATGTGATTATAAATTAGACTTGATCAAAACAGGCCAAAACTTGAAATCCAGCCTGTTTGACCTGCCCATGTCAAACTCTAATTATTCTTTACTTTTAAACTTTCTATTTGAAAATAAAAAATAGTGAAAGAAAAAAGATGATTGCAATTCGACATTTGCACATCACTGATTCGAGAATAAAACTATAGAATTTTGAAAAGAAACTGAAAATGTTTAGGATCGTTTTAATGTTAAAATAACCAAATAGATCTTTTTGTTTAGTTTTTTACTAACAAATACCAAACGATTCCCTATAAAATACACTATAATTTAATCATTATGATATCAAATAATTAAATAATATATATTTGAAATGATTAATTTGGACTAATTGGGTTGGTCGAGGTTGAACCATTGAATAACTTTGAAATACATTATATTTTGGGTTAATACCACTACAACACCCGAACTATCACGAAAATGCCACTTGTGTCCTATTGTTTCCAATATTCTATCTGTGTCCTCAACTATGATTCTTTGGTTCATTTGTATCCTTTCAATTTCGTTGACCGTTAAAGATAACAGTTGACCAAACGGTGGTCAAAGCAACGCTGACTATTGGTGATGTGGCAAAAACGTGGTGGACACATAAATGCCATGTACCTAGACACGTCATATTAGGTTTAATGTAAAATAACTAAAATTAAAAAATAACAAAAAGAAAACAGAATATCTAATTCCTTCTCATCTCTGCCGTGAGTATAAGCGACCCTCTACCTCCCCCTCATCGTCGCCATTGTTGCCACCGTCGGATTCTTCATCTGCGGGAGAATTAGGTTTACGATGGGTATCCGGAAGCGCTCTCTTCTTCCAGCCAATGCAATGGAGGATCTGGGATCCTCGTTGGAAGGACTCGACATTCCCTCGACTCCTTGCTGCCGCCAATCACTATCGCTACCCCCTGCTCCTCTCTCAAATCCTTCTTCCGCTCCAACTCTTCAAGTGTCTCACCAATCCTTTTTCCTCCCCTTCCCACTCTCATATGCAAGCTCTACAGCTTCAATGCCTCCACCGCCTCTTTCTTTCCTCTGGCGCCTTCAGATCTGAATCCGATCCGACAACCCCAATCTCAAATTTGTTGGCCAAGAAATTTCCGGTGATGGTGGTGATGTCGTTGTTCAGCGGAGGCTAGGCTGGTGTTGTAAGAAGCTAACCGTCGTTGAATTTATGGGGACAGTTTGGAGAAGGCAAACGTGGGAGGAGGGTGAACATCGATTTTTTGATACTGGTGGAAGAGGAAAAGAACAGGGGCGACGGAGTGACAGATGGGATTAATTTCCATTCTTGATTTTTTGGTACTGGTGGAAGAGGAAAAGAACGGATGGGGGAAGGAGTGACCGACGACGAGCTCTAGTGAAGTCGGCGACAATGAGGAGGAGAGGTGATCGTGGTCGGAATTCAATTTGGGGGAGGAGATGTCACTACACGGAGATGGGTTGGTGGGTGAGGGGTTATTTTCTTTAGTTATTTTTTGTGAAAAAAATATAAATCCAGATTAAAAAATTACACGTTAGATGCCACATTAGTGCTGACTAGATTTTCGGTTAAAAACTAACGGTCAACAAAAGTCAACACTAACAGAATCATAGTTCAGGACGCAGATGGAATATTGGAAACAATAGGACACAAGTGGCATTTTCGCGATAGTTCGGGTATTGTAGTGGTATTAGCCCTTATATTTTAGCCACTAAGATATAAAATAATAGCATAATATATATATTATACTAGAGAAAATAGCTTGTTTTAGAATTGCAAACCCATGATGTTCATTTGTTTTACTTGATGGGCAAATCCCGTGTAGGTCGGGCCCATCAACTCTTTTATTTTATGGTTAGCGGATAGCCCATTAAAATCCATGCATTAGTTTATTGTCTAATTTTTTTCTTTTTAGCAATAAAAAGGAGTACTGTTTTTTTCTTTTCATATATATTTTACCACTGCAGAGAAATAAAAGGACTTACAGAAAAAATTGACAATCCTGGACCCGTTTAAATCTGCATGTGTACGGTAAGTTGGCCCGCTCCACAGAGGAAAAAGAAAAAAATTAATACTACCTATTCTACCCTTCCTACAAATGCCCTTGGAGCAGGAAATTTGAAAGGGGGGAAGGGTTTTTTCCTCTCAGCTATTATAAGTTTTTAGTTTGAAAAGATAGAACAAATGTACTTGATGTGATTGGTTATGATCTTTGCTTTTCTTTAAAGTGGTCATGGTTCAAATCCATTGCTGGAGTGATTCGGAGATGTAATGGCTTGATGTCCCGAGGGCATGCTGATTCGAGGATTGAGGGTACAGAATGTTAGTGTTGTGGTATATGATACACGATTGAACCTCTCCCAACAACTCGAGTTATTGGGACCAACTGGTTTATGACATGGTATCAGAGCCTTCTGTAACCGAGAGGTCTTGTGTTCGATTCCCGGTGACCCCCATTTGTTAAGAACTTGGTATTCTTGTCTTCAGACTTGTGCAAACTTCAAGCCCTTGTGAGTGGCTTTCGTTTGAGGGGGCTTGTTAGTGTTGTGGTATATGATCAACAATTAAACATCTCCCAACAACTCGAGTTATTGGGACCAACTGGTTTATGATACGGAAATCTCTCCTGTGAAAGTGTTCGCCAGCACGTTGCCTTTCCCTGGAGTAAGGCTACTGGATTGTTTCTCCCACGAAAGCTTAAAATAGGATAGGATGCTAATAGCTACAATGAGATTATTTGAAAATTCAAATTCGGTGGAAATTAGTGTGTATTATTACTTGAAATCATGTAGAATTTATATAGAGTACAATAATAAATTTCTATAATAACACAACACTAATATGGAAAACACCTAACTTCTATAATGAATATAACTTTGCAAAATTACATAACAATGTTCATATTATAACATAATATATTACTGGTACAACTCATACTCTAATACGCTCCCCAAATTTATGGCAATTACTTTGAAAACCGAAACTAAAACTAACACAAGATTTTTTTTTAATGAGATCATTTAGATTGCAAAACGGGCCAGGCCCAATCGAAAATGATACAAGAAAGGGGTTACAAGGGTTAGAAGACCCAACAAAAAGGGATTTTTCCAAAAATAGCACCTTTTAAAAAAAATTACAAAAATAGCAAACCCCCGAAAATATTTACAAAATCGCACCCTTTTTTATGGACCGCACCTCCAAGGCTCTGATACCAGTAGGGACGAGAATGAGACAGCCAATAAGAGATTAACTTGAAATTGATTTGTAAAGTAAATGATATTGGAAATGACCAGATTAGCAAAATGTAAATACTGGAAATGACCAGATTAGCAAAATGTAAATACTGGAGATGACCAGATTAGCAGAAGATAAATACTGGAGATGACCAGTTTTGCATAAATAAATACTGGAGATGACCAGTTATGCACGAAATGAATAAAAGTTGAAGATGATTTGAAAAAGATGAAGTAAAACTTGATAATTTGATAGACTTCTTACACAGAAATTCTTGAGAGAAGATGATGGGAGGAAGTTTTGCAAGAGAGCAATTCCCACTCAAAACAACTCTACTTACAACAAGTGAAGGGAGTCTCCTTTTATAGAGGAATGGAGTCCCCTTTTGGTAAATAAATTGAAAAACATAATGATGACAATGTGGACACTTATATGATTATGTCACATGTCACAACAAAATTACATTTTTAATAAAAAGAAAAATAGATAATTTGTGGTCTTCTTTCCATAACCAAATTGAGTGGATTGGAAGTGGAGTCACTTCTTCTTTGTCTTTAGGATAGTGGGTTGGAAGTGGAGTCACTTCTTCTTTGTCTTTGTGGTAGTGGAAGAAGCAATGGGGTCACTTCTTCTTTGTTTTCAACTTAGTGCTCTTTGTTGGCAAAGGACCAAGCACTTCTTCATCCGGGTCATGGTTTTGGAACGTGGAATCTGCGTCAGATGTTGAGTTAGACGCCACATCTTTGAGAATTTGGAAGTATTCTTCTTCAGTCTTGGCGCCAGCTAAGAGAGCGCTGATTGAGGATTTTGTTTGCAAAAAATTGCGTTGAGGATTTTTCGATAACTTTGGACAACTCAAGATTGTTATTGAACCATTGGAGGACTTGAGGTTTGTAGGCCTGTTCTGGGCGAGGATTTGCAGCCCAATATTTGGCTTGAAGCTGCGGCCTAACATGGGTACCTTTGTGACAGCACATGTTTGGTAACTGAATTCCCAAGCAGTAATCCAAGGAACTTTGATGTAGTAACAAAATTTGAGGAGGGGGAATCCTGGACCAGAATATTTTTGACAGAAGGTTTGATATCCCTCTTGTATCTCAGTTGGATAGATATTTTCAGTTGGCCCAAAAAGATCCCACCAGTGCATAAACTAGTTGGGGAAAATGATGGGAGTTTTGTAATCCCAGAAAAAACTCCAGGAGTGTCGGTACATATGGTTTTGCTTGAAGAAGGCATTAATCCAAGCTTCATGGTAATCCCAGTAATTGAAGGATTGGCAGATTTGCGGGTGGTTAAGAGCAATAGTAGCAGGGAATTTTTGGTTGGTGTTTGGGCTAGTAGGCCATTGGCGAGGGTGGATAATTTGGTGGATTTTGCAGGTTGAGTGGGTATTGAGTGTTTTGTCTGAAGGATCAAATTTGTGGGAAAATGTGACTGATCTAGTTTCTGTGAGGATAAGTTCATAATATTTGTGGGTTTTGTTGAGGGATCTTGGTTTGAAGAACCACTCATTGAGGAAATGTTTGGCAGTAACATTTGGATATTGATGGTAGAAACCATCTTCAACAACGAAAATGGGTTGAAAAGTGTTTTTCTTAAAATACGTTTGAAATCGATTTTGAGGGGTTTGGACAACCACCACCTCTTGGGTTTTTGGAAAAACGGTTTTGAGAGGGGCTATCGAAGATGCCACCTCTGTTGCGGTAGGTGCAACATCAAGATGATGTTGCTGATAGATTTGTTTGGTTTCTTCGGAAGAGATGGGTGTGAGTAGGATGCCACTTGGCGTTTGAGTATTTGAAAGAATTAGTTTAGAAGGGGAAATTGTTGAGGAAGTTGAAGTTTCAGTGGGAAGCTTTTGTTTAGAACCAGAAACGGCAATACATTTTTGAAGGTAATTTTGGGCTTCAAGAGGAAGCTTATCAATATTGATTAAAGCTTTGGATGAACTTGAGTGTGAACCAGAATCATCAGAACTTCCTTCATACTCACTTGAATGATCAGGGCTTCCTTGTTCATCATCAAATATCTCTCTCCATGTTTTGATTTTGATTTTCTCTTTATCTCGCAATCTAGTGGTAGGAGGCATTATGACTGGAGATTGCAAGCCTGAGAGTTTTCCGCACTTCGTCCTCCCTGCAAAAATTCCCGAGTAAGGAAGTCTGGAAGAGAGTTTGAAGAACCATTTATAAATTGTATGTCAAAATAAAAAATGCTAAGGATGGCTTGCCATCGTGCAAATATTTGTTTAGAAGCAAGGTTTTGAACATCTTTTTCCAAAATGTATTTTGCTGATTGGCAATCAATGCGTAGTAAAAATTTTTGATTGAGCAAATCATGCTGAAATTTTTAGATGCATAAAACAATAGCAAGCAGTTCTTTTTTGACAGTGGAATAATTGATTTGGGTAGGGTTCCAATGCTTAGAAGTAAAGCGTACCAACAACTCCTTATCATTTTGAATCTGCTTAAGGATTCCTCCATATCCTAGGCGAGAGGCATCGGTTTCGACAATTTTAGGGAGAGAAGGATCACTTATGTGAAGGCACGGGAGACTCTGAACCTGCCTCTTAATTTGCTGAATTATTTTGGTATGCTGGTCACTCCAGGGAGGGGGACTCTTTTTCAATCTATCATGGAGAGGTTTACAAAGAAGATTGATGTTGGGATAAAAGTCAAGGACATAGTTTAAACTACCCAGGAACTGTTGTAATTGATTTTTGTCTAAAATTTGATTAGGAAATTTATCAGCAAATTGAAGAGATCTTTCGAT